TATCTCTCATTATGTGCCGTACATTTTCTTCCCAGGCAACTGAAGGCCTTCCCCTTCTTCTTCTTTGTTGTGGTATGTAATTTAAAGCTTTCTTTGGCCATCTATCTTCATTCATTCGTTTCACGTGACCATACCACACTAGTTGTCTCGTTTCAATTCTATCTACACTGAAATATACAGTATTTGTCCTCCTTCTAATATCTTCATTCCTGATGTGATCTTTTTTGGATATACCACACGCTCTCCTTAGAAAAGGGATATCTCCCACTCAAAAATCATAGGCCAGTTGTATGTATTTCTGAGAAGGTAAGATTCTAACGAGCATCTAAACTAACCTTCTAGCTATTTATATATTTTTTACGCACAACAGGCCGTTAAGGCCTAGGGCAATTTTGGTAAACATAATCCTAATATTAACTAATTACAATTATTTTAAATAAAACTTAAATATGTATATACAACATTCTTAACTACTCTGAAGGACCTGGTGGACAATATTTCTCCATTTGCTTCTATTTTGTGCTTTTCTTTTCCAGTCCCTCACCTTCACGTATTTAAGGTCTTCCTCCACTTTATTAATCTACCTCGTTCTGGGTCTACCTCTTCTTTTGGGGCCGATTAGTTTTCTGTTTATTACTAGTTTGGGCATTCTGTTTGTTTCCATTCTTTCCACATGTCCCGACCATCTGATTCTTTGTGACTTGACGAACTTGGTAATGATAGGTTCTTTGTATAAAGCTATTAATTCATTGTTGGTTCTTCTCTCCCAACCATCTTCTGTCTTCCGTCCTCCGAATATGCGTCTCAGTATTTTCCTTTTCCATAGAAACGAAACCTTCTAGCTAAGAACGTGATAAAATATAAACCTTGTGGATTGGGTTTTACCGAACATATCATAAAATGCCTTCGACGATTTTGTTTGCCAAAATATCAAACATAAACCAGCCTTAAATCTGGAAAGATTTAGTTCCATTCATACACAGGATTATAAAGGAAAGGATTAAAAACCTTTCGTACTCTTAAGGAATAAAAATAATTAATATTTTAATTAATTAAAAAAAAATGTTACAACATGTGGATTTAGATTTGTGGTTAAGGACACATTTGTGGTTAACGTTATGGACCTCGGGGGTAATATGAGATGTCGACTCTTATATTGCAATAAAACTCTGAGAAATGTCTACCCCTTTCTCAACGAAAGGGTTGGGGGTTCTGGAAACAGAACTCGGTTCTACCAGTAAATCGTACTGTCATGTCCTCGAAGACATACATGTTGCGTAACCACCGGGTATATGGCGTACAATGGATGTGCGTTATATAGCAGCAGAGAGAGGAAAGGTGAGTTTCTGGCTCCTTAAAACTGGAATTAAGGGAAGAAACCCCAATAGAAAATCCTGGTCCTCCAAGCTTGGGAGTTGGAGCGATGGGCCAGTCCTAATCATCTGGAAAGAACTCTTTTGACTAAAAATTTTAAAGCTGAGCCTCAGCATATGGTTGGAAACTTACGACGACGACACCTGGCAAAAAAAATGACTTTGAAAATTGGTACTTGGAACACTCAAGACATGACCCACAAAACAACAGAAATTTTAACTGAATGACGAAGCAAAAAATGGACATCATAGTGCTCTCTGAAACCAAAAAGAAATGCCAAGGAAATGAACAGATTAAAGGCTAAATTCATATATGGTCAGGAGTAGAGAAACACGTAAACGCTAAATCAGGGGTCTCAATTCTTATAAAAAATTCTTATAAAAAAAAAAATATATATATATAAAAGACTATGCGTATATCTCTGAAAGAATTCCGAGAATGATTGTCACATTGTACGGCATCGAAACAATAGTGGTTGGAGTCAATGCGCCAACAGATGATTCAAATCAGCAAGTTAAAGATTCCTTTTATGAAGAGTTATTAAACATTTGTTTATTCAAGAAAATAAAAATAACGTGGTGAAAATAAAAAGAAAATAAAAATAAAGATAACGTGGTGGGACGGAACGGAGAAATAGTTAAAAATGGTTCAGGGGACAGCTTAATTGAGTTCTGTCAACTTTTTGGTTTAAAAATAATGAATACCCAATTCTAACATAAAGATATTCATAAATACACTTGGGAACGACCTTCACTCCAACAGTCGATCATAGACTATATAATAATGAGACAGAAATCAAAATTTAAGTGTCAAGACTGCAAAGTAAAAAGAGGATATAACTGTAGGACAGATCACTACTTTATTTTAGCTAATCTTTTGTGCCCCTTTAAACAATACTACAAACAGAACACCGAGTGAGAGAAACAACAATACTATACAGTACAAAACGGAGAGATATAAATTCTACCGATTATTTCAACCAAGTATTAAACACCTTTTTGAATCTAGATTAGAAAAGGAACTGAATAAGATGGAAAGAAATATGGATATAGAACAACAATACAACAACCTCAAAACGATAATAAAAAAATTGCTTATGGAGTGTTAGGAACAGAGAAAAACGACAAAAAACACGACGAACCAACATGGACGACAGAAAATATAAGAAATGATACAAGAAGAAAACAAAATATATAAGAAATGGCTAACAAATAAAACATCTAGCAATAAAGTAACATATCAAAGGAAAAACGGACAAGTACGCAATCAAATAAAAGAAGCAAAAAACAATTTCTGGAAACAAAGATGTCTCCAAGCTAAAAAGTTAATTGGTGGTTCTCAGACTACGGAAGCATGGAGAACTATCACTAATCTAAAGAAAAACACCCATAACTCCTTAAGCAACTTAATTCCTATAGAAAAGTGGGAACATCACCATAAAAATTTACTCCAGTCTAGATTGGAATATACTTAGGTCCACTCCTAATAGAACGAATAACTTTTCTAATGAATCAATGCTGCCAACAAATTAAAGTACCATCTGTGGGAAAATCACCATAAAAATTTACTCCAAGAGTCCAGATTGGAATATATGGAAGAGAAATACAGTATGGAGAGAAAAACAAATAGTAACATTAATACTACTAACAACGAGGTCCGTACTAGGATAATTAAAATGAAAAACGGGCGATTTCCAGGACCTGGCAATATAGCTGTAGAGTTACTTAAAGCAAGAGGTCCACTCTAAATAGAACGAATAACTTTTCTAATGAATCAAATTGCCAACAAATTAAAGTACCATCTGAATGGAAAACCGCTCACCAAGTGTCCACCTTTAAAAAGGGTAATCGAAAAGATTCTAACTGCTACAGAGGATTAAGTGTTCTACCTACTTTCGGGAGATTGTTTGGAAAGATAATAAATGGAAAAATACAAGATGATTTAGGACATCTAATTAGCGAAGACCAAAGTGAACTTACGCCTGGTAGATCTTGCACTGATAACTTGTTCATACTCTAACAATTAATAGAAAAAAGAATAGCGGTTGGTACCGAAGTACATCTAACCTTCATCGACCTAGAAAAGGCGTATGATACAGTTCCAAGACTTAAATTGTAGCAAGCTTTACAACTCGGCATTAGCCAATACATTTTAGGAATAATCACAGAAGTATACAGGAATAACACTTCTCACCTAAAAATCGGATATAGACTAGCAGAGCCAATAAAAACGGTTTTCGGTAGCAGCTTCACAGTTTAAAATTGCAAGTGAAGAAAATTGTAAAATGGTTTTATTTTATTATATATAATATTTATAGATGATACGTGAAAATTAAAATATTGAACAAACATGGATACAAATAAAAGTATGTATGATCAAAGCAGCGCAAGTCAGTAACAGCAATATAAAAGACGAATATAAAAAATGGTTCGTGGTGAATGAAATAACAAGAATCGAAGAAAATACCGACTAGGAACGAACAGGTGAAAAGCCCGTTATTGTCTGTGTACCGCCTAAAGAAAAAGAAAGAAAAGAAACAGTAGAGAAACTACAGAACAATAAGAGCCTAGGAAGAACGAAGAATGCACGCCAGAGTTTTTATTTAAAATTCAATTCCTTGTTTTATACTTACCATCCGAACATTTTTAAATTTTTGGATGTTCTGAAAAATGTTCAAAACATATATTAAAGTAAAAAGCAGTAGTGTCCCTAAAAGAGTATACCGAAAAGCAATACACCTTAAAAGAAGAAATTTCATTAAGCATCAAATATGTCTTTTACGGGAAAAATGTATAACTGCTTTTGAGTTTGTAAAAATTATGCCAAGAAGGCATCAACCTGTATAATCTGTAAGTTGCAGTTGCTTTAATAAATAAATGATTTAGGACTATATTTCTAATTTCTGGTGTATATTATACCTCTTTTCCTCAAAATCCAAGTTTCAGAAGGAGATTCCATTTCTGGGAATTTCGTAATGAACGGGAGCTAGTTCATGTATAGGCTTGCGTACCAATTCGTTTACAATTTAAGTAGTTTTATAGAGTTCGGGAGCCAGTTAATCTGCGCCGCTTTTGATACCACCAAAGAATATAGACGCTTATATATAAGCGTCTATATTCTTTGATACCACTTTCGGAGATTTTGAAACCAGAATGTCTGGGCCGTTTCTTCCAGCGATCTTGACCTGCATTATAAGGTGTAGAATGTTATACTCTCATATTATGATTTTAAGGTTTAATGTAATACCTCTATTAATGAGAATTTTCTTTAGTTTATAGAATGCGGCTAGACAGTCATATATCCTATTGTGTCATGTGCCAACAATCAGAAAGTTATGCGTCAAGTGGTAGAAACAAGTCATTATAAAAATATTAGAAAGGTAGGCCGAAAACTAGGTGAAACAACTTAAAATCCCAAATTGGACAAAAATATTCTACAAAAATATCTTCTTGGACTTTAATACGAAAAAAATAACTAGGTATATATGAAAACACATCAAATACTTACCTATTTTCAATGAGTAATTTGTACGAGAAAAAAATTAATCGCCGCCCTTGAAGAGTTTTTTTAAGAGTCAAATAGATATAAAATCAATCGCAATTCTAACAATTAACATTATTACCAAAATGTTCAGACTAGTGAATTTATTCTTTGTCGTTGCTTTAGTAGCTCACTTTGCATCCGCAGGGGAGGTAAGCTGTGTTTATTTCATTATATATGTGTGTACATAGATGTATATATATATATATATATATATATATATATATATATATATATATGTATGGTTTGTTTTAGCCAACAGGAGAGCTGGCAAAATTGGGCAAAGTTTTACATATCGCTTGTAGTAGTAAAGTTGATATTTCTGAAGAAGAAATTGGAAAATTGAGGGTAGGGGTATTCACCAATGACGATAAATCCAAGGTAAGTTAACAAATCAGTAAATATTTTCAGAATATAAGTTTACTTTAAAGTCTTTTTACTCCTTTTGTAGTAGAGCCTTATTTTTATCGTCCTCCTAGCTCTTGTAATGTTGAAGTCCAGTTTTCGTACATCTTTTGGGTGCTGCCATAAAAAAGGTGATATGAAAACATAAAAACGAAGGACTTTTTTTCTGTAACGTTTTAGGCATTATTACAAATTTTACTCTTATTGCTTATATATTAGTTACTCCTTTTTTATATTTGCTATAATAGGTACTCCGGTATTTTATTTAACTTATTTACTTATTTCTTTTCATCTCCTAGAGAAGGTCTATTACATATTATCACTACTCGAAGATGACCTGAATCTATAAAATTAATTAGTAATTTAATTATGTTTGTGTGTAGATATTTAACTTCATTTAACACATTGGTTATTTAAATCATATAAGACAAATATTTAGTTACCTTGCAAATTTAAATATTTCGATACTATTTTTCATTGTCCATCATCATCTTCATCTTCTGCGCTGCAAATCGTCGTGGGTTTTGGTATATTCCACATTTCGTCTCCAGTCCCCTCTCCGCTTTCAATGTGTCCAATCCAGGCCAGTTTCCTCGACCTTACAAACCCATCTCGCTTTCCGCTTCTATCAACTCATAAAGTTCAAAATGACTTCTAATACTCTAAGAGATAGCTTTCTTTACCAGTGCGCAGATCGGAAATATTTTCTTTTAAAGCAAATCGAAGAGAGGACTTATCTGACTTTGTCCTGCATCATATTTCACCAGCAAAAGTAATAACTGGTAATATAATTTTAGTTTTTTTTGGTCAGCAATGTGAATTTAGTTATTTTATATTTGCAAAATATAAATAGGTTGTTTCCCTCATTTTTCCAAAAACCCCTGGCTTCTTTATTTTATAATCCTAGATACGCCAGATTAATATTTCACTCTAAGTTAAAGTATCGAAAGATAACGTTCTATGAGGTTCTTCTAGTTATATTAGCTGAAATTTCATTTTCAAAAAGTATTTGGGATACAAGTTTTTCAAAAAATATCAGAATGTCGTCCGTGTAAATAAATACAAAATTTTTGAGCATTCATTTAAGGGACCTTCCAAAATAATCGGTACAACCCTTATTAGTTGTATCATAAGACGTTAATCTTCTTCTTTAGGTGCCGTGTCCGTATTCAGACGTTCTCTATCGGTTGCTGCTCGAAATAATTCTTCTACTGTGGTACCACAACATTGTCTAATATTACATAGTCATGACAGTTTTTTTCGACCAATCCATCTCTTTCTCTCCCCTTTTCCTGATATCATAAGGCGAAGTAGATGGTATTTGGGTCCTCTAATTATATGGCTAAAAGATTCTGTTTTCCTTCTCTTTATGACGTTTGTGAGCAGACGTTCTGAATTCATTAGTTTAAGAACGTCTTCATTGGAAGTGTGCGAAGCTCATGATATTTTTAGGATCTCATTTCTAGGTCATAAAAGCCTTACGAGATGGTGTTTCAAAGACTCTCTTACTTCCTCCAAAATCTAGTTTTATAAGGCTTATCAATATACGCTGATGGTTCTGTTTTCGTTTGGTATATTGTTTATTTTGTGCATTTTTCTATTTTTGTGCTGTAGCATGTGCTCACGTGTTTGGGATTTCTAAAGGGGTCGAGATATATCTTACTCGACTTAGTTGACTTTGCTAATTTCTTTAATTTAAGTTGTATTTTGGCAGAGTAAATTATGATTTGAGTTTTTATTAGCGCCGGATTAAGTTTTTAAATCTTTCATATTGTTTCGAAATCGGTGGTTTATTAAGATATCTAATTCATTCCGTACTATTCTACCTTATTGTTAATCTTAAGGGGATTTACACGTGTACAGACGTGATTACTATGTTTTTTCTTCGTTCTACAGGGTTAAGATTCCATTATACAGATAAAGTATAATTGTTAAATATCCTATCAAGAAGCAGCTTCAAAAGGATTAGAAATTAGTTCGTTTAGTAAAAGTGATTTAAGTCTCGCTGCGTAAATAAGACTTAAAAGAAAACTGGGAAATTAAATGGAATGCTTTCTGTAACAAATAACAACCTATATACAAAAATTCACCCTGTTTTACCTACTGCGCCTTTTGCTGCAAAAGAGTATCCAAATAGAAGAGTATATTCAAAGTTTGCTAAATGCTTTGTTAATCATGCTACTGTGAAAGCCTATCTTCATAGATTTAGGTAATTTAAGTGAAACAGAACTCTGCGATTGTAATGGTAACACTGACGATATCAACCATTGGATGTTCGTGTGCAGATATAGTGATGTTGTTATTAAGTATCAATTGGAAAATCTGATAAAAGAACAAATACCTCTTCCTCAGAGTCAATCTTCTATTGTATATACCTCTCGTCGAAATATTAGGCATAACCAAATTGTTTGGGATGTTTAAAAAGGACTAAAAGAAAAATTTAGGATATAATGTGTAATGTGAATGTATAAATCTAGCTTTGCTTTCTCTGTCTATCCTTATATTATATATTTACCTCCTAGGTGTTGCCTGTATTGTGTTGTAATAAAGTCACTATGAAAGGCACCTTAGCGTAAAAAGTATCTCTATATTGTGTAATCCCTTGTTGGTAGAAACATTCCATAGTACAACAAAAATATGGTTATGGCCCTGTTGTATCATGTCTCTTTCCTTTGTATCATGGTAATATTCACTTTAACTTGGTTAAGGCCCTGAATTTAACGAATAATAGTGTAGTTTCTTGTCAATCTACTGATTCTTGTGATACTGATGTTTACAATACATTTTTAATTTACCTCTAGGCGAAGTACTACTTTGTTCTCAATTATTGTTATCATGATATAGTTTATTTTGTTATCAAGCAGTCAAAAACATTATCGTGGCTGAATGGATCAAGTTATCCAAAGCCAATAATTAAATAAATAAAAAAATATCCTATCAAAAATGGTGAATTTCGTCAACCATTACACTCCCACCGGTGTGCAAATCAGAGAACTACGAACACGTGCAAACACTGAAGAGCGAGATAAGTTTTTGCACTTTTTTGTTCATCAGGAAAGTCTTGTCGTAGCATGTGCTGATTAATTTTTTTTAAATATTATCTCCGGTTCGATTTTTACTGCTACTTAAATATTTTAGTTAGAACCCCTTCGTTATATTCCTTGTACCATTTATATTCGTCGTCTAGGTATTAAAAAATTCACGAACCATTCAAATGTAGTTGAAAAATAAACCATTTTTTTTATTTCAGAATTACCTGTTATGCCTCTACAAAAGTATTAACATTGTAAGTATTTTATCTATATTTTCTATGTTACGACGTAACGATACAAGTTATTAATTTTATATGAATAACAAATAGGTAAGAAGTAAAAATATGAATAAAAATAAGGTAAAAAAAAGAAGACGTGCATATCTACCTGGAAAGATAGACAACGGGCTACGTCAGGGAGACCCACTCTCCTGTATACTGTTCAATCTGGGTCTGGAAAAAGTAATACGTACGTCACAAATCACAACTACCGGTTCAATATATAACAAATCTGTGCAAATCCTAGCATATGCTGATGATATCAATATTGTTGGGAGAACGTAAAACGTAGCACGAGAGGCGTATGTAGCACTAAAGGAAGCGGCTACAAAAATGGGTGTAATAATAAACATTAATAAAACGAAATACATGAAAATAGGTCCGCAACCACAAATATGACGGCCCCTTGTTATAGACAACGACGTCATCGAAGCAGTTAACGAATTTGTATACCTGGGAACTCTCGTCAATACTGAAAATGACATTACCGCAGAGATAAACCGCAGAATTTGCACGGCTAATAGATGCTATTATGGGCTTAATCTCCTTTTTAAATCTACAGCTATATCAAGAAATACAAAAGTAAAACTCTACAAAACAATAATACGCCCAGTCCTAACATATGGTTCAGAAACCTGGACTTTAACAAAAAGCAATGAAAACATGTTAGGATGTTTCGAAAGAAAAATACTGAGGCGAATCTATGGAGCGGTAAATGAAAATGGTGTCTGGAGAAGACGATACAACTTCGAACTCTATAGAATATACCAGGAACCAGATATCGTAAAACACATTAAGATAGGACGTCTGAGGTGGGTAGGCTATGTAATGCGGATGGAGCAAACCGACCCAGCTAGAAAAACGCTCCTTGATAGACCTATTGGTCAAAGAAGAAGAGGAAGACCCAGAACAAGATTCCTAGATAACATAGACCAAGATATGAGAAATGTGGAAATACGTGCTTGGCGGAAGAAAGCGATGGATAGGGACGACTGGAAGAGAATTTTTGGGGAGGCTAGGACCCACACAGGGTTGTAAGGCCAAAATTAAAAAAAAATGAAGATAGACATTTTCCTGTTTCTTCATACAATATGGTAGAAGTCATCATCCAGTACAGTATATCTAATTTCATTTATGATATAAGTAGGTGGTACTAGAGATAATGATTGGTTAACAGTAGATGGTACTGTCTTAAATCTGCTTTTTTCCTTCCTGTTTAAATCAAATAAACTATTGGATTACCTTGAACCTGAAAGGATTTTCCATAGAGTGTTTAACAAATCTTATGGTAGTCGACACAAAGTTTCAGAGTTGTTTGGAGAGCCCAAGAATTTCCAGATGATCCAGCGAAACACAAAGACAACTTCTTCTTCTTCCTCCTCTTTATAGACAATTCTGCTTGTTCATGGAGAATTAATACCTCTATGAAAGGTTGTCACTCCACCTTTTGCGCGGTCGTTCGATACGACTTCTTCTTAGAGAAAGAAAAGACAACTCAAAGGAAGAAAATGCAAAAAGATTTAATAGAAAAACTGATGCTTGAACATTGGATGATAGTACTAGAGAACGACATAGATTTCTTGTAAGCAACTCATTTGAAAAGACATTAAGGAATTGTGATTGAAAATAGTGTTATAGCAAAAAAATTGAGTTGATAGTTTGATGTTCTGTACATAAATACTACTCTTTTTTCTTATTTTAACCTATTTTTACTTTTATTTATTAGCATATCTTATTTTTATGTGCTTATTTTAGCTTAAAGACGATGGGGACTTGGATGTAGACACAATTAAAGAGATAGCTCCAGCAGCATTAAAACCTACCGCAGTAGGAGTCCTCAAGGGATGCTTTGATAAACAAAAGGGTAAGCTTTCTAATAATTATTTTATATTTACATTTAACTGTGTTATTTATTTTTTTGGATATACTTCCCTGATGTAGAATGATCAGTTTGTTTTGATGTAAAAATTAAAAAGATAAAACTTGATAATGTAATTCAAGGAATGAAAAAAATGAAAATAGATCAACTTGGTATTAGCGAATTGAGATGGCCAGGGTCAGGGACATGTAAAAAGGACAGTAGTGTATTATATTATTCCGGTAACAGCACAGAAAACTGCTGATTTCTTGGTCACCATATACAGCAAAGATCGAGGACCATCTTCTAATCTCAGTACTTTTCCAATTTTAGGCTGCTGATTTTTTAACTCGCCCAAACGACCGAATTTCTTATAGATTACGGACGACATTCGTTTAGTCATTCCAAGATCTTTGGTAACACAGTGTCCTAGAGAGACGTTATGCGGAACACTAAAAAGATCCTGCTGAACTTCTGTGGTCACGCCAAATCTAGCACTCTTTCTCTTTGCGTAATTTCACATAAATTTATTAAAGCTTGGTCGCCGGTTATCTTTGATATCATGGGGAAGGATTCGTGTTTCTTCTGTTTCATTTGAGCCAGCATAAGGTGCAAGACGATTTTTGTGAACTACTTTTGGTTTACCTTTCGGAAACTTCTTAATTCGGTATATTACGTCATTTATTCTCTTTTTAATTTCATGTGGTCCTTCCCATTGTCTTTGCAGTTTAGAAGACAAGCCTCGACGACGTTGCGGATTACAAAGCCAAACAAGATCACCTACTTCATAGCTTTCATTCTTGCATCAAGAATCATATTGATCTTTTATTCTGTCACTGGATAACTGGATGTGTTGTCGGGCAAGTTCATGAATGCTGTTGATTCTTCGACATAATCTTCGCTTGTAACATGTTCTTCGGAAGGTCTGCAGCCAAACTCTAGGTCGCAGATCAAACGAACTTCATGACCCAACCTCAGACAGGTTGGAGTCTGGCATGTAGTTTCATTCACGGCCGAGCGGTAGGCCATTAGGAATAAATGAATGTGCTGGTCCCAATCTCTTTGATGTTTTGATACAACTTTGAAAATGTGTTTACTCATCGTTCGGTTCATCTTCTCGACCATTTCATCTGATTGAGGATGCAGGTGTGTCGTTCTGGTCTTATTGACCTCAATCAATTTACAAACGTTTTGAAAGAGGGTTGACTGAAAGTTTCGCCCTTGGTTGCAGTTTCCAAGGGAACACCAAAACGGCTAAATAATTCTTTAATAAGTACCTCTGCAACGGTAGCAGCTTCTTAAGTATCGCATAGGCCTCAGTCCATTTCGTAAAATAATCCATGTCTACCAGGATGTATTTATTTTTATCATTTGCTACTCTATTCGTTATAATATAAACTAAAATTAAATTTTGTTTTAGATTCCGAATTGGTCGATAAGTTATATAATATGCAAAAATGTGTCTTCACTACGAGTCCTATGGTAAGTATTAAAAATATTGTAAAAAATATTTATATACAATTTTTTCTTCCTTAGCTGAAAATATTGTTTAATATTTTTATTTATTTTTCAGCATCATCTTATTTTGTAAGAGACCTGGAATTTCTACCTCGGAATGATTTTTACGCTGACGATACTGGTAACATTTCTGTAAAGATAATATTTTATTAATAAAATTTAAAATATATATTGTAGTTTTCTACTTGGCTCATAGTTATACAGTTATGTTCATTAGTTATACATGACTAGCAATAATGAGAGTACAGATATTTAAAGGTTGCCAAATGTTCTTGCAAGTCTTGCTCAAAAATGTCGAGACCAACAAAAAGATCTTTTTCTTGCGTTTATAGACTATGTGAAAGCTATAGACAAAGTTAAACATAAAATTCTCATGGAACAAAAATGACATTAACATAGTTAAAAATCACTATTGAAATCAACAGGCTGTGATAACATTAGATGGAAATAGCACGGATGCGCAACAGATAAGTAGAGGAGTGAGACAGGGCTATGTATTTTCACCATTACTAATTAATATATATTATATATAAGAGGGGCAAATTCATTACAAGGATACAGATAAAAAAGAAGATATTGAGCAAGTGGACAAAATGAAATACTTAGGAGATTGGAATTAGAATCTGGATTATGGAAGTTCTGAATTCGAAATCAGAAATTCGCTCAAGAATAGAGCAATCAAGAGCAGCCTTTTTGAAGATGAGGAAATTTCTGAGTAACCACAGACTCATTCTGCAAATCCGATATCGGATGGTAAAATGTTATATCCACTCTATTCTTCTTTACGGTGTCGAAGCCTGGACTGTTAATGCTGACTTAATGAGAAAACTGGAAGCTTTTGAGATGTGGCTTTTTAGGAGAATTTTGAAGATACCATGCACCGATCATATTACGAACGAAATGGTGTTGCACAGAATGGAAAGAGACAGAGAACTTTTGAACACTATTAAAAGACGAAAGACAGCATATTTGGAGCACATACTTAGAAATGATAAGTAAGAGTTGTTGCAGCTGATTATAAAGGGTAAAATTGAAGGAAAAAAGGGTCCTGGTAGACGACAAATATCCTGGTTGAAAAACATTCGCGACTTGACCGGGTTAAACACACAGACGCTCTTAAGAAAAGCATAAGATAAAGACGAATTTGCAATGGTTATAGCCAACCTACATTAGTGGAGATGGCACTAAAAGAAGAAGAACATTTAAAGGTTTTAAAAGGTATATGGTGGACATCCGATAAAAAATCCGTAAAGACGTACAGCTGATTTTGCTTTGATTTTGTTTTGAACAATCTTAAAAAGTGAAAAAGTCAGTATTTTGACTATCAAACGTTTCTTATGCGGTTTATGGCGTGACGGTGAGAGAAACAATGGTTTAACTCAGGGTTGTCCAACTGGTGGCCCGCGGGCCGCATCCGGCCTGCATCCGGCATTCATTTAAACAATGAATTTTAAAAAATAGCTTTTAGAGAAAGTATCAACTTAAAGATAATCTTCGTTTAAGCAAACTAAAGCATTTGTTATGCATTTTCCTTTGCAATGAAAATGTTGAACCCATTTATCTAATACCATGATTTTTTGAGTTGTGCCACTATTGCAGCCCATCAACGACTGGAGGCCTCTCTGCGTGTCATAATACTTAAATTGTCAGTCCTATTACTTATTGAGGTGTATTCTGTTTTAAAGTTTTAGGTAACATTGACATTCTGTTAAGAAATATTATAGAGAACCGCTTAAATATATTTTTTTAGAGGAATCCTCTAAAAAGTTTTTAATCAGATACGGCAACGTTGCACGTTGATATTGTTTAAACTACTTGTAAAGTAAAATTGACCAAAAACTAAATGTCGTAGGCCAAAAGAAGAAGAAATTGACAGTTTGCTTGACTTATTAGTTTATTATTATTGAAAATAGATTTCATTTTCATTTCAGTTTATTTGTGTTCGCATTGTATTTGTATTTTCATTTTAATAAAATTTTATTATGTCTCGTACTCCACGAAATACAAAATCTCAAATAAATAAATTATTTCTGTCACTTTATCAATGCAACGACTCATGCTTGGTTGACTTAAAGCAAAATTGTATCCTTGTCCAGAGGATAATTGGTAGCTTCCAGTACCATAAAAGTTTAAAGTTACTAAAATCTTCAGTTCTTTAGGAATTGCAGATATTCTTTGCCCTTCTTGCATATGGACTAATCATGTGAATGATTATCCTTGCAACATCTTTATTAAATCTAAAAAGTTTTCTAAATGTTGAAGTAGGTAGCTGGATAGGATTGCTTATATCTCAGATTATTATTTAATGTAATCTGAATTCAGCTCTACAAAAAGAACAAAAAATTTGAATTTTGTTATGGATATGGATTATCAAGCAAACTGAGACTTACCTTTCATTATTTCATCAACTAAAACTTTGCCAAATATATTATAATAAGCCAATTGTCTTTTTTAACTGATAATCTGCACTATAATATATAAATAACAAACTAATAATTATATAAAGCAAACCAAACAAAAATAATCAAATGATATTTAACGGACTGTTAAAAATAAGAAGTATTGACATCATCCAAAATATTCTGTTTTAGTGGGAATAACGGTTTAGTTAAAGTGTTACAGAATACACCCCATTGTCTATTATCTACCTATCTAAACCTCAACCTATCTAAACATTTAGGTTGATATTGTAAAGATAGATTGTATGAAAAGTGGGGTTAATAATATAAAAATTTATCATACAAAAATATATTTGAATGGATAATAATACGAGAAAATACAATAGATTGGTACAAGAAAAAAAAGAAGATCAAATACGTAACTATGTTTTAATCCGTAAATTTTTTATTAGAAATAAAAAATAATCCCCGCCTATGAACAGTTTTTTTAACAAACTAACAGATATAAAATACATTCTCAATTCGAACAATGTACATTATTTCCAAAATGTTCAGACCAGTAAATTTATACTTTTTTGTTGCTCTAGTAGCACATTTTGCATCAGCAGTACCTGTTGCACCTGTGTCATATATATATATATATATATTATATATATATATATATATATATATATATATATATATATATATATATATATATACAGTTACATATTAATAAGTTATTGGTTTGTTTTAGCCAACAGGAGAGAGAGCAAAATTAGCCAAAGTTTTACATGACGCATGTAGCAGGAGAGTTGGTATATCTGAAAAAGAAATTGGAAAGCTGAAGGCAGGAGTATTCACCGATGATGATAAATCCAAGGTAAGTTTACATTTAAATTATTTTTGCTCGTTTTCTAGTAGGGCTTTGTTTATTTTGACCTTTCAGTTCTTGCGACCTTGAAAATAGAAGGTCGAAGACAAAGAAGAAATGGGAAATTATTCAAATGGATTGACCAGATCACAGGAATCCACAAGATACTAATACACTTAGTTTATTTCTATTAATAGAAATGACCAAAGATATAAATATGGAGATTGACCATACACGACATCATGACGACTACTATCTCCGGTGTTCAAAGACTGAAGAGCGAGACAAGTTTTTGAATTTTTTTTTATCAGGAAAGTCTTGCTTTTGGAATGGATATATTTTGTCTTCCACATTGGGGAGCACTTATAAGGAGTTGAAAGTTGGGAATGGGCTGAAGACAGGGTAAGCAAACAAATCGAAACGTCATCAGCGAACGGTCACTATTGGTTTGGTTGAAGAGCTCGTTCGTAAGTAATGAATAAAAGAGGGACTGGACAGGATAACTATAAAGAAATTACAAAATACTTACAGAGATTTCCAGGGCAACACACAGAAGGAGGCTCTTAAACTATTTGAATTTGGACGTCGTTTAAAAGAATCTTCTCGCTGGATGGAAAGAAAGGAAAGGAGAGAAAAGGAAATTTTTCCTAAAAAAATATTAAAAGATGAAAATCTTTTTAAAGGAAATAACTCTACAACTGCTGGTTTAGAGAGTTTAGAGAGAAACATTACATATTTACTATTACTTAAACAATCACCTAAACAAAAACTGCCAGATCGCATTTTGTTTAAAAATTCACCTTTCAAATTAAAACAATAGTCGGCTGTGAAGACAACACCCGCAAGCTATTTCTTCCAAATTTCAATCCAAACTTGACTTTCACTTAAAGTCCACACTGCTACTATCTACACATTTTCCCATAACAAAAACTAACAACGAACAACACAATAACGAAATAAAAAAAAATCAGAACTAAACAATGAAACCGACTGACAGCGATTCCACAGAGAGTGACATCATTTATAAAATCGTTCGCCTCCTCGCATAACTTTCTTACCAATTTAAGTGGAAATTTATTTGACGAGAAATAATAAGCGGCATCACGATACAGACCAGAAATGTTTATATTATCAATCTTGACGACGCAAAAAGATTGAAAATATTTTACGGTATTTTAATACATACAAAGTGAAATAGAAATGCTACATGGTGATTGAGTTCTTCTAAATATCATGTCTGGTATGACTTTGACTGCTACCTAAATATTTCAGTTATTACTCCTTCGTAATATTGGTCGCATCGTATATATTCGTTATCTAGGTATTAAATTATTCAATAATCATTCAATTACTTGTGAAACAATATACCTTTTTTATTTCAGAAGTACGTGTTATGCCTTTACCAAAGTGTTAAAGCTGTAAGTATTTTATCTATATTTTCTTTATTTAGTGTTCCCTTGACTTCTGAACGGTAAGGTTGTGCCTGAGACGTTCCTTATCAACAAGTAGTTAAATTAAGGATATTATTTATCGCCCAATTGACTTCCAACCATCCAATTTTCCAGTCGTTATGTTATCGCGAAACCAGTTAGTCAAGCGCAAAAGTCAATTAGTAAGTTTTTATTTTTATCAAAAATATAGGAACAATTATTTTTAAAATGTTTCCTATTCAGACGCCAATTGTGGCGACATTAGGCCAAGAAAATAACGCTTTCATATTCAGATAATGTATAATGTTTGCAAAATGAACAACCATTATTATAATGAATGGGTTCAATCGGAAAATAATGTTAAGAAACTTAATATAAATACTCAGAGGCTAAATCAAATAATTATCGTAATGGAACAAAGATTAGCACAGCTTGAGAATACTCAACAAGATACAAGATCAACAACAAGTGCAGATAAAACAAAAAACGAAGGAAAATTAGATAAACCTGAATCCTGGAGCGATGAAGAAAATTTAGCAAATAAAACGGAGTAAATAAGAGAATACCAAAAAGCTTAAAATGGATACTTCATTATATTCTCACTTACTAGAGAAAGCAATAGCAGAAAAGCATATTCAAAATCTAAAACTGCCTACACCGGTTATTGTAGAAGGTTTCAAAAATGCTGCCAACTTAAGAAAGATTCTATTCCAGGGGTTCCAAACTGGGGTGAGCCCACCCCTGGGGGTCGTGAGGACATGTCAGGGGAGGAGCGACAGACAAGTCAAACATTAAATTAAATTTAGGTTGTCTTTTTAAAATTCTAAATTAACCATGATGTTTAGAAAATCGTTACCCTAATTTTATTTTTACTTAATTGTACATCTTTTTAAATGCAATTATTTTAGCTACAAGTAGATGGGGACTTGGGTTATGACATAATTGAAGATGTAGGTCCACCAGCATTAAAACCTACAGCACGAGGAGTATTCAAGGGATGCTTTGAAAAGCAGAAGGGTAAGCTTTGTAATAATTGTACTTACTTATACTTATATTTAAGTAATATTAGTTTTTTTGGATATACTTCTCTGATAATAATATGTTCAGTTTGTTTTGATGTAAAATGAGTCGCTCAGAAGCAGAGTTGCCCAACTGATTTTTTTGTATAATTCAGATATGTAAAATAGTAGTAAAATAGTTGGGCCAGTGAGCAGTATGAGAGTTTAGACATTCTCACTCTTGTCTTGTGTATTTGTATAACTCTTGGCTAGCGTTCATTCGTTTTTTACGGTATAATCAGCCTTTTATACGGTTTATGTTTGTGCAATCTTGTGTAGCGGTGAGTAAATTATTGTATTTTATATTAATAGTGATTGCAAATATCTCGGCTTAAAATTTAAATTAGGACTCTAAATTTTTCAAAATTATAACCTTAAAATTATAATTATATAATGAAGAAAGCAGGCTCGTTTCCTAAGCGATGTTGCAATAACTATAGGTTAATATTTAACTTCAAGACAATTGATTACTTGAACTATTTAATAGAGAATATTTTTGTTATGGTTTGGAAATGCCGTTGTCGGATACATCCAGTACTCGTGAACCCAGCGAATTTAAACCAGATTCTGGCTCTAACTTCCATCCACCATCTGATAATGAGTCTTATACAACTAGGGAAAGCTTCAAAGAAGATGGATTTGTGGAACCTGGATCAAGTAGAGGTAAAAAACGTTTCAATTCTCGTTGTAGAATTGTGTCTGAGAAACTTTTTTTTCATAGAGTTTGTAGCTGTCCACGACAGTGTCATTTGTTGTTAGCTGTTGGAGAAAGAAAAACTATTTTCCAAAGTTTCTACAACTTATGTGATTTTATATGTAAATGTTAATAAAGGACGACATATAGCAGCCCAAAATCATAATAAACGTTTTAAGACACGAATTTATATATTACCGAAAGGATCAGGTGATCTGGTAACTATTTGCAAATCATTTTCTAAAAAAGCTCTACAAGTTACAGATGGAAGGCTCACCAGAGCTTTAATAAACAAATCAAGAGGTGGCAAATTAATCACTCCGCCACTGGATAAAAGTGGCAAGCACCCCCCTAAGAATAAGACAAGGGAAACGGATATTCAAAATATAAATGATTTCATTAACAAATTTGCCAAATATACCGGGTGGTCCAATAAGCCGATCTCCCGGCTATATATCAGAAACTATTCATGTTATAACTTTAGGAGAAAAAATTCCTAAGTAAAAGTGGCGAAGAGAAATCGCTGGAAATAACTTTCAAGATTCTGGATTACCCGCTAGGGGGCGTAAACTGCGAAGAAAATTTTGAAAACCAGTTTTTTGGGAAATATGTCCAATTATACCAAGTGTTAAATAAGTAAACTAGAAAGAGGCATAAATTCTGCATAAAGTTGTTCAAGTACTTTTTTTTATTTTTTTAAATAAAGGGTGGGGGAGAGTGGGAAAGTATTTGTGGATAAATACCTATAACTTTAGTTTGGATCAACCGATTTTAATAAAATTAGTGTCATTAGAAAGAGTGTGGATGAATTAGTTCACATCTACTATAAAATACATGCATTTAGTTTTAATAGTCGTAGGTAGAGGGGACTTTCAAATAAAAAAAATTAAAATTTGTTTATCTTCAAACTTTTTAATAGAAACACCTATTTATTGTAAATTATAATGGAACTGGATTAAATTCGTAATAAAATGGAGCAAACCGCATGTTAATAGCTTTTGTTGAACTCGAGATATGAATAAAAACTCATAAACATAAGTAAGTATAGTATTGACACACCCTGTATTATAAATTACATTAAAAAATAAGTCAGTAGGTATTTTCAAATTTTTTATAGCAGAAGAATCTTAATGTTGATACCTATTTTGTAAAAAATAGTTTTTTCGAAACTAAGTAGGTTACGACAATGAATTTGACGGAGAGTTCATATTGTTTATTTATTGACAGCAGTCAAAACATTGTTAAGAAGTGCTATAATATTATAATTCGAAATAAAGATTGCACTTTTTTCAATAGATATTAATATTGGTAATATTAGTAATTAATTATCAGTACAAATAATTCGTGATGAGTATATCAAATTGTATGTTAGGATTGGAGTTTATTTCGAATGTCATCAAAATGCCGCTATTGCCTCACGTCTATTTGTAATAGTTTTGTTTTTATTATTTTTATGTTTTATTGTTAATAACTATAATTTTAATTGAATTGAAGTGAATTTTAAAAGTATGTAGTTCGTTGTTAATATACTATACCTCGGCTAGCTCAATTATTTGTTCTAAGCAATCTGTCACTGTGTGACGTCAACTCTGTAGTCTCCTGGTAGAGTTCAAAAAGAAATTAAACCAAAATTTACTTTATATTTTTGATAAATTAACCCAAATGAAGCACGTTATTTATTAATATTGAACAAATTTAACATAAACAATAAAATTCGTCTGCAACTTAGGTTGCCTTTAAAAATTTACAAAAATAGGAATCGTGTAAACCTTAATGTGTCGTGAAAATAGAATTTGATTACAAAATGTGGAAACTCTCTACAATTACCTTAAATCTAAATGACTATTGCAACTTTATAAAGTGTTTAAATGAAATATAAAGAAAAGAAAACTGAACACTTTATGCCGCTGACTTATAACTAGCATTAAAATATAATCAAAATTTCAAATGATCCCCAAAATTATTATCCAAACTCACTTTCAAACAGTTCTGATTTTTTTTTTTTAAAGAAAACTAACTACTCGCAAAATAATCGGTGATACTGGAATATCTATCCTCTCTTCGGAAGTTAAAGGTACGTACTATTATATTTTTATTTTAATGATCATTAATATTTCAATTTTTAAGGCCTATCGCAATTAGTTAATTCATGAATTTTTACTTTTTCAATCTAAATGACATTTCTGCACTCCAATTATAATTTATAAGTCAAAATTTCTCTTACTCTCTGGAACAAATTCTGGATATCTCTATTTGAAAATGTGGAAAAACTAAATTATAATTAAACGATTTTAAAGCACTCCCGGACTATTCCACCTTTTTAGGGCTCTTCCTCCAAAATTTTCGTCGCCTCCAACAACCTATTCTTCCTTGTTAACCGCCATAGCTAGCACCAACTACCAAAATTATTCGTTGCTAACAGCAACCCACTTTCTTTTTTCATTCCGTCTTCTATTTTATTCAACCATAAAACTGTCCTGTTTTGACATATTTGTCAAACCACATTAATTTCTCATAAGCACTTTAATCACATCTATTTTGGGAATTTAAAAAAAAAATTCAGATATAAAACTTAACAATACTAATATAATTTATTCTTTTCATCTCCACATCATTGTAATTTATTTAACAAAACCCCTATTAATTTAGTTCCCACAGACTTTTGACAGTTTATTTTTCTGACGTTTATTTTTAAAATTTCTATGTTTAAATAATTTTTTAAGAATTCTTCTTTTTTATTCCTTTTAAGGTTTAGACGATTCACCTATACACTAGGCAACTATACTATTCAGAAATTATTAACACTATACCAGGTAAGTCAAAATTAATTTATTTAGCAATTTACTAATCTTTTCTCCCTTTTATTTCAGAGTCGACCCCACATTGTGATGGCTTCATGAAATTCATGAACAACAAACTCATATAAAAATCCCTTTAAGTTATATCCTCTTTGACATATTGAAATCATTTCAACTTCCCCCAATTTGGATTTTGTTCAGTGCTAACTATCAGCACTTACTAAATCTAAATTCTTACCGATAAACTTAAACATTTTATTAATATTAACATAACAATAAACTGACTTTTATTAATAAGCATATCTCTTGAATATTTTTTTTTTTTAATAATTTACTCTATGAAAAATACAGACTTCTCCAAACAAAATCTACAAATCTTTCACTAATTATATCAACTTAAGAATCAAATTTCCAAGTACTTTCCCAATTTCATTACTTCTTTTCCTGTACTATTTATTTCTCGTACTAATTTCGTAGAAATTCTTATAATTGTTCCCCTCTTTATTTTATATCTTTATTCATTTATTTCCGCATATACTATTTCAGTATCTTTATTCATTGCCGCATTATTATTTATTCTTTTTGTATCCGCATATAATATCCATTTCATCATCTCTACATATAACTCTCTATATTTCATATTTCAATATTTCCTATAATTCTATTTTTCATCTTATTTCCCACATATTTTCACATATACTATTTATCATTATAATATTCCCTATTTCCCAATTTCTACAAAATATCGATTTGTCCATAGTACTTTGCTCATTTATTTATACTTGTAACTCCTATAAATCTACTTGAAAATAAATCAACCTTTTTTGTTTATATAAATTTATCATTATTCTGTACATTTGTTCCTAATAAATTATTTAATTATCAAATTTATCTCAAGATATGCTTATTTATTAATTATCCTTCTATTTACAAAACTTATATCTTATAATACCAAATTCGTGTCATAATATTGCATTATTTAAATTATTTACAATGTTTTTGTTGATTAGAGTTACTTCTGAACCTGTATCTATAATAATAACTTGTATACTGAATCTTGTATGTACCCTTCAATAAACTTTAAAGTATTAGTGTTATTGTTTTTATTTAATTCCCCAGTATCTCTAATAAACTCCCTTGGATGTTCATACTTTGATAAGTAGACAATATTATGCACATAGGAGCGGTCTAAGCAAAATTTCTCCCTTCTGCATCAACACTTGCTTCCCCCCTATTCTCCTCTGTTCTAACTACATTCACCTGTCTTCTCTCCTCATTTTCCCCCCTATTATATCTTGGATTCCCTTCTCTGTAAACTTCCCTATTTCTCGTCTCCTGTGGATAATTTCCCTGGTTCTGTCTCCAATTATTGCCTCTGTCATTCCCTTGTCTCCAGTTATTCTCTCTATCATTGTTTGGATTCCCTTGTCTACGTTCCCAGTTATATCGTCCGATATCTCTCCTGACATTGTTCAAATTCTCTCCCCTATTTGTAAAATCCCTGCTTCTATTTTGTCTCTCAAATTCTCTTTCCCTATAATTATTCCCTCGATTCACATATCCCTGTCTATTTGCTGTGTTATTCCTATATGTCACTTGCTCTTGTCCATTTCGATTCTGCGTCCCTACACTCCTCTCAATCCTCTGAAGATATCCTGTCAAACTTTCCATCGTCTTTATATTGTAGAGAGCTATTGTTTCTGCCATGTTATGGTTATATTGCCTGGCAATGTATAGGACAATCTCCTCTTCTCGCATAGCCGGTTCTAAATATTGTGCTGTCTGGAATAACTGCATTGCGTACAGATTGTAGTTGGTACTTTTTTCATAATTGAATTTCCCAAAATACAACCGCTCCCTGAAACTAGCCTGTTGGTTTTCTCCCCAAAAATAGTTAATAAACTTGGCCTCAAATTCCTGCACATTATTTATGGAATTTTCATTATTGCAAAACCATAATAATGGCATGCCCACTAACATGTTTCGAATATTCAATTTCATTTCTATTGGATCCCTTACATTCTTTACCTTATTTTTGATGATATCTACAAATATTCTAGGATGTAAGTGATTCAGGTTTCCATCAAACTTTATTCCCCCATCATTATAACTCGGCACCACAGTACTCACTACTCTTGTTTGTCCTAGATTTGATTCCAAACGCTGAATCTCCTCACTTACATTTTTAAATTTCTCTCTCAATTCCTCAACTTGTCCCTGTAATACTCTATCTCCCTTTTCCGCCTGATTTGCATGCATACCCATTTCCAGTTCCAAATTCTGCAATCCCTTCTTTATATTATTTTTTATAATGGTAATTTTTTCCTCATAATCCTGAGTTTGCCTTTTAACACTTTCTACCTCCCTAACAATCTCTTTATTCTGCTTATTAACTTCTTTGTTTATTTCCATTGGTAAATTCTCTTTAATGGCTGTTCCCAACTCTACAAATCTGCTCCCAATTTCCTGTCCTATTTCCGCTCTAATTATGGCCTTTTCTCTGGATATCTCCTCCTGTACATTCCTCTTAAAATTCTCACTTTCTCCTCTGACCTGTTCTACTTTCTCTTCTAAACCTTGGGTAATTTGTAGCATCTCTTCCCTGACTATCTTCACTTCTTCTTTGATTTCTTCCCTCATTTTAATTAACTCTTCCCTAAGTTCTCCTTTAATATTATTTTCCATTTTGTTCATATCCCCCCTAATATTGTTAATATTACTATCCATTTTGTGCATATCTCCCCTAATATTATGATCCATCTGTTGTAACATCCGCATTATTTGCCTCATATCCATCTGTGTCATCCCTGACTCTCCAACATCTCCTTCCCTACGTCTCTCCTCCTGCACTCTACATTCATTCACACTTTCATCACGTCTATCTCTCACTGTCTCATCCAACTCCTCTCTCAAACTATCTGTTAGACTTCCCTCTCTATCACCTTGTCCTGCTTCTTGTCTGCCTTGCTCTAAATATTGTACTACAAATTCTCCTGATCCTCCTCTGCTTTCTTCATCTACCTGTATACCCTGTTCCTGTTCTAACACCTGTTCTCCTTCACTCTCTTTCGGTACGATTTCTTTTCCATTTCTTAAAGTCATTCGGTCTGCCATTTTATCCTAATCTCTATTTATTCTCAAATTTAACTTTAACTACCCCAGAATCTCTACAACTCTAATCACACCAATTTGTTTTTATTTTAATCTGTGTATTATTAATAAATCTGCTTAAAAAAAAACACCCTTATTTCTGTTTTCCCAGAGGCTCCACGTTGTTAGCGCCAATTGTAATAGTTTTGTTTTTATTATTTTTATGTTTTATTGTTAATAACTATAATTTTAATTGAATTGAAGTGAATTTTAAAAGTATGTAGTTCGTTGTTAATATACTATACCTCGGCTAGCTCAATTATTTGTTCTAAGCAATCTGTCACTGTGTGACGTCAACTCTGTAGTCTCCTGGTAGAGTTCAAAAAGAAATTAAACCAAAATTTACTTTATATTTTTGATAAATTAACCCAAATGAAGCACGTTATTTATTAATATTGAACAAATTTAACATAAACAATAAAATTCGTCTGCAACTTAGGTTGCCTTTAAAAATTTACAAAAATAGGAATCGTGTAAACCTTAATGTGTCGTGAAAATAGAATTTGATTACAAAATGTGGAAACTCTCTACAATTACCTTAAATCTAAATGACTATTGCAACTTTATAAAGTGTTTAAATGAAATATAAAGAAAAGAAAACTGAACACTTTATGCCGCTGACTTATAACTAGCATTAAAATATAATCAAAATTTCAAATGATCCCCAAAATTATTATCCAAACTCACTTTCAAACAGTTCTGATTTTTTTTTTTTAAAGAAAACTAACTACTCGCAAAATAATCGGTGATACTGGAATATCTATCCTCTCTTCGGAAGTTAAAGGTACGTACTATTATATTTTTATTTTAATGATCATTAATATTTCAATTTTTAAGGCCTATCGCAATTAGTTAATTCATGAATTTTTACTTTTTCAATCTAAATGACATTTCTGCACTCCAATTATAATTTATAAGTCAAAATTTCTCTTACTCTCTGGAACAAATTCTGGATATCTCTATTTGAAAATGTGGAAAAACTAAATTATAATTAAACGATTTTAAAGCACTCCCGGACTATTCCACCTTTTTAGGGCTCTTCCTCCAAAATTTTCGTCGCCTCCAACAACCTATTCTTCCTTGTTAACCGCCATAGCTAGCACCAACTACCAAAATTATTCGTTGCTAACAGCAACCCACTTTCTTTTTTCATTCCGTCTTCTATTTTATTCAACCATAAAACTGTCCTGTTTTGACATATTTGTCAAACCACATTAATTTCTCATAAGCACTTTAATCACATCTATTTTGGGAATTTAAAAAAAAAATTCAGATATAAAACTTAACAATACTAATATAATTTATTCTTTTCATCTCCACATCATTGTAATTTATTTAACAAAACCCCTATTAATTTAGTTCCCACAGACTTTTGACAGTTTATTTTTCTGACGTTTATTTTTAAAATTTCTATGTTTAAATAATTTTTTAAGAATTCTTCTTTTTTATTCCTTTTAAGGTTTAGACGATTCACCTATACACTAGGCAACTATACTATTCAGAAATTATTAACACTATACCAGGTAAGTCAAAATTAATTTATTTAGCAATTTACTAATCTTTTCTCCCTTTTATTTCAGAGTCGACCCCACATTGTGATGGCTTCATGAAATTCATGAACAACAAACTCATATAAAAATCCCTTTAAGTTATATCCTCTTTGACATATTGAAATCATTTCAATATATTCTGTAAGATATCCTGGCAGGAGATATTGTGGCAAAGAAGTAGAGACTTCGGAATACTTATATGTGGATTCTGTTGAATTAAAGCAAGAACATTGATTGAATTATCTTCGGTCATAACTCTACTACGTCGTTTAAAACAAGGACGAGAAAAACTACCAGTTTCTCTTAATCTTTTTTCCTTTCTTTCAAATACTTCTTTGCCATAATGTCTCCTGTCAGGATATCTTACAAAATATATACGTGAGGCAATAGCGGCATTTTGGTGACATTCGAAATAAACTCCAATCATATCATACAATTTGATATACTCATCACGAATTATTTGTACAGATAATTAATTACTAATATTACCAATATTAATATCTATTGAAAAAAGTGCAATCTTTAATTCGAATTATAATGTAGCACTTCTTAACAATGTTTTGACTGCTGTCAATAAATAAACAATATGAACTCCCCGTCAAATTCATTGTCGTAGCCTACTTAGTTTCTAAAAAACTGTTTTTTACAAAATAGGTATCAAAATTAAGATTCTTCTGCTATAAAAATTTGAAAATACCTACTGACTTATTTTTTAATGTAATTTATCATACAGGGTGTGTCAATACTATACTTACTTATGTTTATGAATTTTTATTCATATCTCGAGTTCAACAAAAGCTGTTAACATGCGGTTTGCTCCATTTTGTTACGAATTTAATCCAGTTCCATTATAATTTACAATAAATAGGTGTTTCCATTAAAAATTTTGAAGAAAAACAAATTTTCATTTTTTTTATTTGAAAGTCCCCTCTACCTACAACTATGAAAACTAAATGCAAGTATTTTATAGTAGATGTGAATTAATTCATCGACACTTTTTCTAATGACACTAATTTCATTAAAATCGGTTGATCTAAACCAAAGTTATAGGTATTTATCCACAAATACTTTCCCCCTCTCCCCCAGCCTTTATTTGAAAAAATAAAAAAAATTACTTAAATAACTTTGTGCAGAATTTATTCCCCTTTCTGGTTTATTTATTTAACACGTGGTATAATTGAACATATTTCCCAAAAAACTGGTTTTCAAAATTTTCTTCGCAGGTTACGCCCCCTAGCGGTTAATCCAGAATCTTGAAAGTTATTTCCAGCGATTTCTCTTTTCCACTTTTACTAAGGAATTTTTTCTCCTAAAGTTATAACATGAATAGTTTCTGATATATAGCCGAGAGATCGGCTTATTGGACCACCCGGTACATCCCACTATAGCCGCAACACAAAATTCTGATCGAGAGTATCTGTCACCTATTTTAAATATCTCAAAACTTTTTAATTTGTATGTGCAAGGTGAAGAACCACAAGTGAAGGTATCCAAATTCGTCTTTTTTCAAAAATATTTAATGAAGATTTTAATCTTTGTGTGGTATTGCGTGAGATTTTTTTTTCGCTTAGCGATTTGATGATTGTTGTATATGCTTCACCATTTATTGGCTGGATTTTTACTGATTCAGTGTTTAATATTTTAAGAGTATAGTTTTGACTCACCTAGTTTTCTAATAGTTCGGTGAGAGGGTTAATACTTTTGATTCCTTCGACGTAGATGGGAGGTGGTTTGGGCTCTTTGGTTTTATTTTTTCGTTTGAATCGTTTGTCTTGGTGTCCTTTTCTTCCAAGCTGCTAAATTTGTTGCTGGTCGTTATAATATTATTCAACGAGTCTTCGTTAATTTTTGTTGGTCTGACACTAAATATACGTAAACTAAAAATAAACTTTTGTTTTAGATTCCGACTTGGCCCAAAAGTTATATAATACGCTAAAATGTGTCTTCGCTACGACTCCTATGGTAAATATTAAAAATATTATGTATACAAACAATATTTATATTAAATTTTTTCTTCCTTACCTTTGTTTGCTGAAATCCTCAATTATATTATACACTCAGGTGCAAAAAATCGATCCATGGGTTTTATTTGCCGAAAAAAGAAAACGTTTGAAGATATTAGTTTTAAATCAGGTATATATGTAAAAGTATATGTTAGATTAAAATATTTTTTAAAGATTATTAAAAAAAATCCTTTATTTATAGCCGAAACTCAAAAATACAAGAATATTAAAAACATTCTGAAATTAAGAAAAACATTGATAATAAATCAATATCTAGTGTTTCCCCCTCGGGCCCTTATAACAGCCTGTGCACGTCTAGGTATTGAGGTAATTAACCTCTGGATATCAAATTGATCCAATTGGTCCCGTATTTCTTGAAGAGCCGCTGTAAGTTCAGCCAAATTGTTTGGACGGGGTACTCGTGCTCGAAGACGTCTTCCCATCATATCCCATAGATGTTCTATGGGATTAAGATCGGGACTGCAAGCTGGCCAGTTCATATGGACAATTCCCACCTTCTCTATATATTGGTTGACTATTCTAGCACGGTGAGGATGCGCGTTGTCATCCATAAAAATATAATTAGTTCCAATGAAAGGAGTAAAATGTACCGCATGCTAATCTAAAATACTTGTTATGTATCTTGCAGCAGTCATAGAACCTCTATCTACAATAATTAAATTAGTATGGGCTTCTGAACTAATACCAGCCCAAACCATAACGGAGCCCCCCCGATAACTTATTCTTTCCGCAATATTACATTGAAAATATCGCTCTCTGTGTCTTCTCCAAACCATTTCTCGGCCGTCTGGTGACCTTAGACAAAATCTAGACTCATCTGAGAACAATACATTGCTCCAATCTGCATCACTCCAGTTTTCATGTTTCACTCTTTCAAAAGCAAGGCGAGCTCTGCGATGTTCTATGCGATGGATAGTATTAGAGATAGGGCTGGCCTTCTGGATAATAATTTACCTTCTACAAGTCGTCGACGAACTGTCCATCTGCTTACATCCACATTTCTCACTTCGCTCAGTTCAACTGAAGTTAGATGCCGATTTCTCAAACATGATGAGACCAGAAATCGATCATCTCTTTCGGATGTTACCCTTCTACGACCTGATCCTGGTCTTCTTGTGAAGTTACCGGTGTCGCTAAAACGGCCGAACTGCTCTTTGAACCGAAGATCGACTGACACCCAACATTTCAGCTGCATAATATTGGCTACGACCATCTTGAACTAAAGTCGCCGCCCTTGCAGCATCTATCGGAGTTAGAGACATTTAGGAAGGATAATAATTAAATAAAAAATATAACACGTTTTGAAAATTAAATCACATTTTTTGCACCTGAGTGTAGATAAATAATATTAGATAAACAACATAAAAATAATAGATAAACAACATTCTAATTTAGAATTTTTTCCTTGGTGTAATTCGCTATGCTGTAAAGTAAATGATTTTTTCATTAATTTTTGGTTATTTTATATTGTAATTTCTTTTTTTTTTTTAATAAGACCAACTCACTATCTGTTTTGTACAGATTCTTTGGATTTTGTTCATTTCAGGGGATATTGATATTGTCACAATACAGTCAGCAAAATGCTGATAATTTCCTATAGTGTGATATTTGGTCTATCTATATATTGCTTATTGCATCCATTATTAGATACAGACTTCTTCTTTGTCTTCTCCACCATTCTCACTTCAGTGGTACTGTTGTCCATGTTGTTCCAGCATGTTTTTTAAAATTCATGTCATGTTCATAAAACACTTCATTCCATTAAAAGACTTTCACATTTTTTTTTCACGAGAACTTGTTATTCTCTTAAACAATTCTCTCAGCAAGAAAATATCCAATAACTTTTATACAAACTGGCACCAATAGTAGTAATATTTGATGTCAATTTTTCACCTAATTGTATATAGTTCCAACTATTTTTTATCTATAGTCAGACCAATAGAATTTTTAAGATAAAATGTGATATATTTTTTCTTAAATATCTAAAGGTTCATAATTTTTTTACTAGAAATAGCACAATTTGTTATTTAATAAATTTAATTTTAGAATTTTAATATTCTTTTTGATTTTTAGCACTAAATTGTTTGGTAAGATACCTGGAATCCCTACCTCGGAATGATTTACACCTTGATTCTGTAACAATTTTTGTTAATACATTATGTTCAATAAGTAATAAAATTAAAAATATATTTTGTAGTTTTTAATTATATTTTTAGTTAAATTTTTAGCGTAAACTTCAAAATTATAAATGACTAGTACTAGAGGATAAATAGGCGGTTACAAGAAAAAACATTTAAGATGAAAATTACTAAGTTCTCAACAAAACTTTTTGGTGTTAGGTTAGGTTAGGTTAAGTTTAATATGAGTGGGCGCTTAACCGCCTCAAGTAGCTCTCGCCCCTACGAGATCTATTGTGGCTCATCTCTAGGTTGAAGTTGTCCTTTTAGCCCAGCCTTTTTACCAAAGTCCATTATGGCCTTTGGTGATACTTGATATCAAGTTAGCTCGAGTTGATAATGTTCAAATATATTGAGCCTATCTAACCCTGGGCAGTTGTGCAAAAAGTGTTCCGCCATCTTGTCTTTAGCCTGACAAAACCTGCAAACCGTATTTTGTATTAACCTACATTAATTCCATTTGCTCGTACTAGTGGTTATATTTTATCGGTTCCACTTGGTCCCATATCGTGCTTTTGGCTGTGCTTCTTCTTATGACACCAAAAGGTTTTGGGCCTGCGAATGTTTCTTTTGGCCCTCCCCTGGTAAATAGGCCCACTTTTTCGTTCCTTTAATAAATTCTCAGCTAAACAGAGTAAACTTACTTTTTCCGATCCCAATCAGATTCTGCAACCAGTTGCAAACTGACTTGGTGTCAATAGGATTTGATTCTTGATGATGAAATTTTGATTGGAAGGTAGAGTGGGCAATATTTTATTTATGAGAGGTCTTAATGTCAAAAGTTGCAGAAAGCATGGAGATTATATAGGAGGTAGTCAAACATGAATTCCCGTTACCTAGAATAGACTCAATATTAGATCAACTTGGATTGGCAAACAATCATCAAGGTAGTACACATGTTTTAGCACAGAAAAAGGAGCAGATTATCTTTGGGATTAAACATAAGCTTAAATAGCTTTTCAGGCATGATGTTAATAGCATTCTCAGGTATAACACCGGACAAAGCATTTCTATACGTGGATAACATAGCGATGATAGAAATATCAGAAAAACATCATTTAGATAACTTAAAAGACATTTGAGATATGTTGGAAATTTAACTTGAAGCTAAACCCAGCAAAATTTTATTTTTTAAAAAGAGAAGTGACATATTTGGAAGATCTTTCTCAGGAAGGAGTATCACCTGATAAAACAAAATATTCAACAATAGAGAAATACTCGACAACTAGATAACGGACGAAGCTAAAAGGTTCGTATTAAGTAGTTTGCAGTTACTACAGACGTTTTATTCCAAATTTTGAAAAATATGCATACCGATAATTAGTAGAATTTTTTTGGTGGCAAGATTGTTAAGAATTATTTAAGAAACTTAAATCATCTTTGACAAAACAACCAATTCTCAAATACCTAGACTCCAGCAAACAATTTATTTTAACATCCTAAGAACAGACACATAAAATTTTAAGTTAGAACTACGACGGAACAGATTTACCAATAGCTTATGCATCGCACAGCTTCAACAAAGGAGTATTTAACAAACCCATAATAATTAAGGAATTACTAGCAACTAATTGGAGAACCAATCATTTTAAATGCAACTTATATGAAGCACCAATATTTTTGGTAAACATGGATCATCAATAGCTAACGCACCTATTTCAATGACATAACCAACCTCGAAACTTACGAAAATCAGATTAGACTTAAAAGAATACGATTTGAGATAGAATATATAACAGAAAAAAATAACTAGGCAGACAGTCTTTCGAGAGTATTGATCAACCAACTGAAAGACTTATATATAGCGCCCACATCCTAGCTATAACCAGGGGTCAATCAAAGAAGGAAGTCGAAAACACAAAGCATAGGGAGACAGAAGAGGAAATTACATTACAGCATGTAACTCACAAGTCAACAGTAAGAAAGGCACTAAATAATTTGGAGGCGTATAAACTACCAAATATGTCTTTTTAATATACGTAAACGATATAAAGAAATAATATATTGAAACATGTAGAAATAAACATATGTGAAGTACCAGAAACAATAGACGATAACAAACAAAAACTCAGGAAAATAGAAGATACCATAAACAACCAAGGTCACGTGGGAAATAATATACTTGTAAATAAACTAAAAGCGAAATTTAAATGGAAAATATAATTAAAGATATCAAGAAATATATTATACATTGCCACAAATGTCGAAGAATTTGTGATATCGGACACTTCTTTGAAACCACGGGACATAGTGTATGTTGACACGATAGGTCCTTTAAGATAAGAGTAATGAAGGCAATAGTTATTCTACCACAATGCTTTAAATATGCAGAAAGTATTGCAGTGTGTTATAAGGAAGCTGAGACAATAGTGGAATTTTTGATGAATGGACTCATGAAATAGATTAGGACGCATCAAGGCACATAATACAAAAATGAAATAATGAATGAGTTAACTAAAATGCCAAAGATCACATACAATTTTTCAATGGCATACCACATCCAGTTAATAGCAAATTTTGAAAAACCACAAAGGATATTAAATGAATACGTAATACGTAATACGTAAGATTAAGTGTGATGCAGGCAAGGTTAAAGAGGTGCATAAAAACAGATTATAAGCTTACAGTCAGTAGACATAAGTGAACTAGATGGCATTAAAAGACAATTAGTGATTTTGCGGACAAAGTGATAGAACAAATGAATAATCGCGGCGTAAATATACTATAAGTAGACGTAAAAGATCAAGTGATAACTACTTTACGTAGTGTGTCAAGTTTAACAAAATACTTGAGTTTGCATACTTGCAAATAATCTAAGCGTGGCCTTGTTTACCACTCACTATTTCTACAACAAAGCTGACCTACTGATAGAACGATATTGTCATAGGCAAGGACGATTATAAAAAAGTAAACAATGAAATTAAAGTGATATATAGTGATATTTATATTTCGGCAATCTATACCATAATGGCGTAGCAGGATGGGCAATGTAGATTATTTTTACCATACAACATCCCTATTTATTATAACCTGATATTATAACCCTGATGAAATCGTATTGATAACTGATAAAAAAGAATAAATATTTGAAATGATGAAAGAACTGGACGTAGAAGCTGGAAAGATAGGCCTTAATATGAATTACAGCAAGACCAAAACCATAACAAATACAGATGAATACATCACAATGAGAATCGGACAAGATGAAATAGAACAAGTTCAGGATTATATATATCTTGGTCAAACTATAAAATTTAACAAAGAGAACCAAACAGTAGAGATAAAGAGACGAGTTAGACTAGCATGGGCGGCATTTGACAAACTAAGCTACATTCTTAAAAACAAAAGATATCCACAGCATCTTAAAACCAAAGTATACAATCAATGCGTACTCCCTGTTCTTACTTATGGTTCCCAAACGTGGACATTTACAAAAGCAAAATGGACAAAATCATAAAAACCCAAAGAGCAATGGAAAGACAAATATTGCACATACGACTATGGATAAAAAGAGAAACGAGTGGATAAGAGAGAAAACAAAAGTGAGGGATGCTAGACAAGAAGTTGCAAAATTGAAATGGAGATTTGCCGGACACAATATAAGACAAAAGGAAGACCGATGGAACAAAATTCTTATAAGGGGGAGACCGTGGGAATATAAACGAAGCAGAGGAAGGCCCCAAATGAGATGGGCAGATGATATCAAGAAGCACGTGGTCTCTAGGTGGATGACTGTAGCGACAGACAGAGAAGAATGGAAAAGGATTAGGGAGGCCTATCTCCAAAGATGGACTGAAGAAAGCTAATTAGATAGATAGATATTATAACCCATCTCTTTAATTGAGACAATTTGCCCTTTTTTTATTTTTATGTCTTCTCGGATAATTCTTGGTTTATAGAAGCAGATTTGGGCTATGGTTCTAGAGTTTTCAATATCAATTTTGTGACCTGTGTGAAAATGGTGTTGACCTAGAGCTGAAATGGAGTCGGAATTACGAACAGAAATGGAATATACATAAATCCTATGTTAGATTCCACGATTTGTTTGGCCTACGTAAGGTCGGGGGCAGTCTGCACAATATAAACATCACAATATATAGCGTATCTTATGTGGTCGCTAATAATCTATGATTGATTCGATATTCTTCTCTAAATAAAAAAATCCCATCTAAAAAAAATGGTAGTCAAATGCTTGAGTGACTGTTCCAAAGAGAAAAGTAAAAAAAGCAAAGTAAAGAAAGTTTTCCTCCGTTGTCTCAATGGTCTTCTTTCATTTGGCGATTTGTCTCTTGCTATTCGTACTATTCTATTTTCTGTCATTGTCTTTTTTGAAGAACATCACCATGATTGCTCTCCTCCATTCATCTGGTATTCTGTTCATGGTGATTGTTTTATTAATAAGAAGTTGCAGTTGTTGTACAAGGTATACCTCTATATTTTAAGAGTTCATTTAGTATTTGATATTCTCTTGATGACTTAGTTACCAGTTAGAAAGTCAAAGGTGGTTATTGTTCTAAATTAGAAAACACAGGGATTAAGAGTAAACATTTTTTGTGCTTTTTGATAGTTTTTGAAGTGAATATTTCGTATCGCTCGGTATGATGTTTTTCATTTGTCTTAGGTGTTTATCTGAATATATTTTGAGTAACCCTCGTAAAATATTTAAGAAGTATCCAAAAAGGAATAAAAATCCGGATATATCATAACGGTCCAAGAAATACCGTATCATTATTTAGATTGTTTGTCCCATCTGTTACAATTTGTAACAAGTATAAACTGTAGGAGTAGAACGATTAGCATTACATGTCACTCTGTTTCTCAGCCGGTGTGACAGCTCTCCAACCTTTTACAAACTAAAGATTCCTTCCTCAACAGGTTGATTGATGATTGAAAAGATGATTCATCAGTTTCTACTAAATAGAAACGTCATTTTGCTCGCACA